GCACGATGTACCGTCAGCTTGGCGCAGCCATCGAGAAGGAGGTGCGGGACAGCGATGGTGTCCCCAGAGCGATCTCTCGGAAAAGGAGCATAGATCAAGAAGCGCGGATACGCCTTGGACAGCTTTCAAAGTTTTGTGTTCCTGTGCATGCCTTGGTTCTGACGGCATGTGTGTGTGTGTGGGTGTGTTTTTGCGTGTGTCTTTGTTTGTGTGCTGCGCGCGCGTGTGTTTGCTTGCTTGCTTGCTTGCTTGCTTGCTTGCTTGCTTGCTTGCTTGCTTGCTTGCTTGCTTGCTTGCTTTGCTTGCTTGCTTGCTTGCTTGCTTGCTTGCTTGCTTGCTGGCTGGCTGGCTTGCTGGCTTGCTGGCTTGCTGGCTTGCTGGCTTGCTGGCTTGCTGGCTTGCTGGCTTGCTGGCTTGCTTGCTTGCTTGCTTGCTTGCTTGCTTGCTTGCTTGCTTGCTTGCTTGCTTGCTTGTTTGTTTGTTTGTTTGTTTGTTTGTTTGTTTGTTTGTTTGTCTGCTGTGTGTGCAATTGTCTGGGTCGTAGCTGAGTGAGATTATGTGCAGAGACATGTAGAGACAGTCAAGGTAAACAAGCAAGTTTGAGTATTGCCTGGAGACATTCATACGCTGCTACGCCCATCCTTTCTTGCATTTGTTCTCCTGGCAAGGCATCATCACATGGCTGCTCGGTTGTGCAGCGGGCTCAGTGACAAGTTGAAGGCTTCAGAGAGCTTCAATAATTGGGAACTATCCCGCCTTCCCCTCTCGAAGGTTACTCTGTCAGTACGCGCTTGCGTCTTGCATTGAAGCCAAGTTTGAGAAGTATCGGGTATGTTTGATATAAGCTTGTTCCGAGAGGGGATCGCGTGTTTTGAGTGTGCCTCATGAGCACTTAGAACGACAAGACGGATAGTGCTTTTGCTAGGAGCACCATCAGTTTGGTGGCAAGTGATTGTTGCATGGACACATGCGCTGTATGAAGTGGCAGAACTTTGGTCCCGCCGCATTAGCGAAAGCGTCTTCGATACAAGAAACCTCCTTGAGAGCAAACCTGGGATTTGGGACTGCGTGGCCACTAGCACACGTGCCATGCCCATGCATCGAACTCTGAACCACCCTTTTTTTCTTTGACTAGTTTGAGAGTCCAGCACTTTCTTGGCACCGTGCTTGAAGAAGCAAAATCAATCAAGCGGCACTGAATCCCCAGATCTCGTGTTTGCCAGCACTGCCTTCTGCGGCCACGGCGTGGGTCGGCTCTTCCACGGTCCCCCAGATGCTGCCCGGCATGTGAGGAATCCGGGGGGCCGCAGGGAGGTTAAGCTTGGATTTGTCCAGACCATGCCAATCGGATGGACAGCAATTGAGAAGGTGAGCCCCGATCAAGCAGACGTACATTGATTAAGCACTCAGATCGATGGCATTGAAACTTAGCCCATGTTTGCACAGACGATACCTGCGCTTGAAAGTGACTTCATCCAAGATGCGTGGAGCAGCAGTGAGATGACATGAAACAACACGAAGCGATGCTTGGGGATTGGAGCGACTTATGATTCTTGGTGCCAGCAACAACAGTCTTAACCTTGAGGATCACGTTGTTTTTTGCTTGCAGGACTCCAGCAATTTGTTTAGGAAGCACTGCAATGAGATTGCTGAAATCATGTGTTGGAGGCCTCTTTATCGGCCAAACTGCTTGCGTGCGGGCAATGATAATGTGAGAATATGGCGCATATGACACAGCCAATAGCTTTGCAGGCGTTTGGCTGATCCCTCGTTGGCTTGTTTGATTGCAAACACGTGCTACGAGGGGGGAGGATACGAATGGATTGATGAACATGATCAAAAGCAGCCGTTCATGCACAGGCCGAGCACAATGGTTTTGGGCATGGGGATCAGAGACTGGACTCGAGAGCCCATCTAAGATTCCTCACTTCAAGAAGAACAAGGCCGTGGGTGTCATGAAGCCGGGCCATGTGTGCGGCTCAGGCGTTGTTCCGTTCGCAAGGAGACGGCAAGGGGTTAGTTACGATTGTTTGCCTGCGGCAAGATCTGCGTGGAGTTTCATTGAGGTGTGACAAATTGCAATGCAATTCTCGGCTCCAACAGTTCTTATCCCTCTTCTCCCCCTTATCCCTCCTTGCAATTCTCATCTCTGGCAGTCCGCTAGCTGGACTGCTTGCTCCACCTTCGTTTTTCGGCAACGGAAGCTAGAAATTTCACTCAACAAGAAGCCAAGCGCCAAAGGATTGTGTCTTCTCGGCGGCTGTCGAGGAGGCAGAAAGCGGATCCTATGATTCAACATGGATGTCAACACAATGGCAGAACATGTTGAAAGTCGGGGACATGCGGGGTGACTTTGGCTTTGCTTTCAAGTAGTGAGGCAGTCTCCAGCGAAGGCTCACAGTCCAAGGCTTCTTTGGGCCCTTTCAAGACCAATGCTCAGGTCTTTACAGTTGAGCCGATGCTGAACCTCGGAGTCAGCAAAGAGAGGCTTGCTGACATTTGCTGAGACAGGGGCTCGCAAGCAAGTCGTTCACCTGACAGATGGAAGAAAACTTGTGGTTCGTGCTGTGATCTGCACGCTGAGCTGCTTTCGCAGCGAGCAGTGCTGCCCAGAAATATGGTGCTGGTTCGGCACCAGGAGTCTGCTTGCACCGAAAAGCCCTGGATATGTACATTTGTTGTTTTGGATTGCGAGAGGCTGATGTCAAGCCTTTCAATGTTGGGCTGCATTTCATCAGGAATCCCGAAGACTTGCCCTTGAAATCCACGCAGATGGGGTAAAACGAGCTCCATGAAGTTCCTCGGAGCCATTGCCTTGTTTCCAGCTCGGGAATTGTGATTTGCCTTGTGCAGGCTTTGGCCTGACGGCTGGACGGCTGTGACGAAAGACGGCAAGCGCTCTGCGCAGTTCGAGCACAGCTTCCTGGTGACAGAGGAGCCGGATGCTGTTGCGTCGTGATAATTCACTAGCGTGACTCTGATGTGGAGGGCACTTGCCAATATAGGGCCATGTTTTTGTTTGTTTCCCGTTTTCAGGAGATTTTATTTGCTGAGTGCGGCAGTTGGGTTTTGGGCTTTCGCAGCTTTCGCAGCTTTTCCGTTCTGGCTGTCCACGCTAAATGCAACCGGACCCACCCTGAATTATTCCTGACAAGATGTCTGAATCAAAACTAATCCAAACCCAATCCAAAGTCAAGCCCAAATCAACGTTTAGACACCTAAGTCAATCACCCAAACCCAGCCCACCCTAAACCCCACCGATCATGAACCTGCCCAAGCCAGCACCAAACCAATCCTAAGCACCCGAACGCAAAGCCACCGATCCTATCCACACTGGACCCGTGCTTAACCACCTGAAACCCAGGCCCACCCCACACGCCCTGAGCCTGCCCTTCCACTCACTCACTCGTGCCAGCCTCCAGGCCACCAAGCCAGTGACTAGGGAAAGCAACAAGTTCCGCGTCCCCAAGGAACTTCAGCTTTACTCACAGAATGATCAGGAGGCATGACACTTTGACTTGGCAGATGTTATCCAATATGCGCTTTCACACATTCTTTTCAGCTGCTCATGCATATTCAAGATGCGTGCGTAGATTGCTATTCAACCAGGAGGTGTCATGCCAGGGATCACTGCGAGTGATATTATTCACCCACAGCATTGAATTCAGCATTGGGATCTATTTCACTTTTCTTAGAGAGACATACCGAGATGGCTTTCAATGTGACATCGACCAAGTTATGCTTTTGCACATGAAAAGCGAGCCCGATGTGATCATGATTTTGGCAGTGATCCGGCGGTCGGTGGCGCCAGGACGGCTTCGAGGTCCTTTCTGCGCGCAGGGGCTTTGACAGGACTGCAGTTGCAGCTGGACACGCCAACTGATCAGTGAAGATCAGTTGACTCGACACCCGGCAGGACATCCATGCCCGAGTACACTGCGGACTTCTTTCAACGCTGAGGCGGCCAAGGCTGGAGACTGGGATCCATGGGGTTGAAGCCTGGAATTCGTCATTCACATCCAGCTCTGCCAAATGGAGTACCATTCGGTTCATACCATTACACTGAGCACTTGACCTTGGATGACCCTAAGTTGCGCAAGGTATGCAATGCGTCGTCTTGATAGACGACAATACCTTTGGCCTGAGCCCGGAGAAAAAGCAACTCGCGAGCTTATGTTTCACAAGTAGGCCGAAAGTTTGTTCAGGTGGGAAAAAAATGAGCGCTCCGCAGGGACACCTTGAAAGATGAGCAATGGTTTGTGCTTCTTCAATAGAGCTGCAGGTTGCGCCCCTTGCGAGATGGTTGCCCTTTCGGGGGAATGCTTGTGTTGAGAATGAGTGGCCATGTGTGAACTGTGCAGTGCCAGATACGCGTTCATCGCCTTTGGCATGTGATCAACGAGTCCCAGCGGGCTCAGGAGAGGGGCAGCGAACCAAGGCCAAGCTGGTTGTGAAGGGTGCTCATGTTTTGGCCGATAGATTATGGGTGAGTCCTTCAGAGTTCCGCTACGTGTAAAGGACGAGCTCCACTGTGACCGCCAGCTTACACAACAAATGCGTCCAACATCCTGGAACTTCACTTTGCCTGCTCTGGGACGTACTCTGCGGCCTTCGGGCCGGATTTCTCTCATAGTGGCTTGCTGCCCATTCCAAACATCGAAGCAAACCCTGTCTGGACTTTGGATGCGTCGGCTTGCTTTTGCTCTCGGTGCTATTTTTCATACCGAAAGCGAACCTGTTGTGGGCTTTTGGGGGAGGTTGAATCAAACTCGGCGTGGCGCAGTACTTCGAATATCGCAAGCGCCTCCCTTTGCAGATATTTTTGTGGGTTGGACGTGTCTTGCCGTGGGTCGGTGCCAACTAGTGGGTGTGTGGTGCGTTGAAGCGCTTGCGTCGTGGCGCGGTGCAATGGTTGAATCAAGACATCCTCCGCTTTGAGCCAGTACATCAACTGTTTCTGATCAGGCGGCTCGCGTGTCCAATCAATCTGGGGTGCCCCTTGAACCAGCTGTCGGGCTGTCCAGCGGCACGTGTTTGCTTCAAGAGCCCCACGTTTGGGTAACCACGGTGACCTTGTTTGTTGGTTTTGAGTATATTGGTTGCTTCGTGGGGATTGTGAATCCAAAGCTGGACTGACATGAATGTGCGCACAAATGAGCAGGATGCAGCAACAGCGGCATGGTGGGGGTGGCTGCTGCTGCTGCTGCTGCTGCTGTAAGTAGGATGTGTCAGTTTGTTAAACAGTTGCTGCTTCTAGATTACAGCATTGCTAATCTTTGCTCCAAGGTTTCGCACATTCGAATCCCAATGTCTTGGCCGCTTTTTTTATCAGCGGGCGACTTGCCTCGCATGCTGTATGAGGAGCTGACGGCCAGCGCGGCTCGTGACTCCTGCGCCGCTTGCCTGGGTAGCGAAAGACACCGGAGGTGGACACGTGGCCGACTTGGACGCGCAAGGGCGCGCCGAGCAAATTCGCCCTGAAGCTGGGCGACCCAAGCCAAAGGCTATGAAGTGATGACCCTGGATCTTGATTTCGGGGTCATCACTGAGAGCAGAGTGCTTGGTTTTGGCAGCCATTTTGGAGATTAAGGTCGTGAATTGCCCCTTTCGGACAATTTGGAGACGTCGCACTGGAAGGTCAGCACTTGTTGGACCCAGTTGAGCAACCAAAAGAGTCGGTCTTTGAGTGAGGGTCGCCTGCTCAGGACGTGTGCACAAAAGCTGCTCTCTAGCTCAGATCTGTCAAATAAATTGGATCCCAACTTGCCCTGACACTCGCTGCTTGAGCTTCGGCGAAATACTGGCTTGCCGTCGAAGAGTACGTGCTCGTGGCCGTTTGGATGTCAGCGCATGATTAAAGAGATGTTCATCAACCTTGCATGATGTGTGAGAGCACACACAACACCAGCTCTTGTTGTTTCAAAGTATTGCCTTTGGCAAAAAAATGTTTTTTGGTTAGCACCAATACCTGTTAGCCGTAGATGAAATTTGAACCATCCTGGAGCCATATTTTGCCAACGTCGCAGTTAGCTATCCTTGGGCGTTATTCAGACTTTGTCCAGGCTTCCCTCAGAAGGCATAGCAGCCAAGGTTTTCCCTGCTGCGCCCTGCACGTTACAAGTCACATCAAGAAAGGACTCCAAAGGAGAAGGACTCCTTTTGGCCAATCACAGGCAGGCCATACGCGGTCTGGCAAGACGTTCACGGCTCTCTGCCATGCAGTGCCGCTTCTGCGGCTCCTTTGCCGGGCACCTTAGTATCCCGCTTTGGTGGTGAAGCGGTTTGGGCGCTCTCTTTTTGCATTCCTACCGAATATTGGGCTACGCAAAGCTAATATGCTAATATGCAAGAGGACACGCGGTGGTGGCACATAAATCCTGAACAGCATGATGATAATATAGTTTGCCATAATATGGCGTCACCCCTGCAGTGGCAAGCTGCGTGCGGAGCAAGACCTACTGGTACCGTATGACTCTGATCTAGGAATCACCATGACAAATCGTGTGTTGGTTCTTTGGCTGGAATTGCCTGCGAGAATGCCCAGGACGTTACCACTGTGATATCAGTCTGACTCTCTCAGTATTGCTATGTACTTTGTATTAGGGATAGCTCAGAATCTGACAGCGCAGCTTGCCAGCCGCACTCTAAGGATTTGGTCCAGAATGATGCGCGTGGTGACACGGTGTGCCACCCAAGCTTGGGGGGCCGGGCCGCCTGCTGACCTTTTGGTTGGTTCCGAAGGGAAGCCAAAGGGAAAGCAAACGTTGTGGGTTCCGTTGTTGTGATGCAAACCCCAACAGAAACTTGGGCTCATGGATGTTGTTTCGTGGAATCCCGGTTTGGGCATATCTCTAGAGAGCGCGTGTCGCGTAGACCCTCAATCACCAAGGCCTTTTGAGCTTGCGAGGCCCCAGCCCCCCGGCCTATGGTCCCTTGGCAAGCCATGGAGATCTCACACCGCCAGGTCTGTGGCAGCTGTGGGGAGCTCCTGGAGGACCGGACCATGGCCTGGGGCTGTTGAGTTCGGGTTTCTGTGAATGGGCTTGGGGAAGCAAACCGGAAAACTGAGGACTCCGCAAATCGTGGGAGAATGCCTTTCTTATCCTTTTGACTTGGCCGTACCATCAGCTGGAGAGATTTGTTCGAGGCGCCCTGTGCCGGGGGCAAGCATATCTTGAGCACAGATCAACAAGTGGAGCTATACATTTGCGTTTGTGTGGAGGGTTTTGCTGCCCCCAGACAGGTTGGCTCGCAAAAGGGGAGTGAGGCTTCAGCGAGCCAAGGTCGCAGAGGCCACCTTCATCACCACAGCCTCAGGGGTTCGGAGCCTCAGGTGCCAGAGCTGAGTTTGGGTTGACCACTTGTAAGGCGTTTGAGAATGACCCAGTGTCGCAACCTGACCAAAGTGACATTCTGCAATACTTATTTCAATCCGAATGCAACACATCCGAACTCTTGGGGTTTGTCAGTTGAAATCTAAGACAAGTTTGGAAGGGAACGTGCCAGCATGTGCCAGCGCTCAGGGGAAGGCCTTGGCCGGGGGCCGTGTGGAGTGCGCCAGCCAAGTTGGCCTCGCGGGCTTCCGGGCGGTTGGCATTGCCCCAAGCGAATGAGTGAATGGCCCTGGCCCAGTCCCTGCCTAGCTTTGAGGGAGCTTCCTTGTTGAGCCTTGGTTCACCGGACTTTTGAATCGCAAGCAAGACTGTGGCATAGTCCATTGCCTCCTTTTGTATCATCAACTCAAGCGCAAAAGTGCGACTGAAATGGAGTTGACAGACAGCGAGAAGCTTCTTCCTTCCATGAGATGGAAGGTCACGGCCTGTTTTAGTTGTATGCACTGCCTTTGGGCAACGTGCGTTCTCGTGATGTGGAGTCTGTCGCAGAGCAGCTACAAGCACAAGGGTCTCCTCTCTCCACAAGCGTTGCCATACTGACATGCAATGACCTGTCTACAACTCTGCTATTGTATCGGCATCTAAACAAAAAGTCAATGTTCCCTCGGTTTGGCCAGATGTCTAAGATTCCTTATTAGCTTTATCGAATCAACGCAAGAGATGTCGGGATGATCGTGCGCAGGCCTCGGAAATCGGTTCTTGGCAGGATTATGTTGCAGACATGTGAACTTTGTCGCCATGATATGAGCTTTGTTTGGTTTCGTGAAGATTTCATGAGTGTGTAGATCGAAGCCGAGCAAACCTGCCTTGCTGCCCACGAATAGAAAGCACCGTCCCTCGCATGTAGCTTCATAGACGACATAGTGGATAGCAGTCAGCAATACTTCCACTAGACGTCCTGCTGCCATGACGTTTGTATGGCTCCAGTGCTACTAGATGTCTGACTTGGTCGCTCTTGCTGAGCAGTAGCTGTTCCTTTCTCGTCGTGGGGCCTGGTCAAAGCACGTCCCAGCTTTGCTTTCACCTATGACCAGCTGCGCATGCAAGCCTCCGTTATTAAGTGTTAATCCGGATGGCTTTAAACAACATGCAATGGGGAAGGTCATGCCGGGAACTGCAAGGCATGCTCGCATGTGCAAAAATTACGTAAGTCTGTGGCATCCTTTCGTACACTCAATCTAAGAGATGAACCCGCTATTATGGGAAGGACTTGGAAGCGAACCCTCATGGATCATGTTTAACTGAACAACTCACCGGCCATCCCTTGGAAGATCTTGGAAAGCTGTTTTTTTCTAGTGACATGTCTTTGCGAATTCGCCGAACACCCGCGCCAGCTTTACCACTGGCCTCTTCAGCGGCCCATCCAGCCAGGCATGTGCTGGGATATACAGCTGCTTGCGTGGGGAGGTGATTGAAGTTTTTTCAGAATACAGGCTGTGTCCTAGGCTGATGCTGGGCTGAGCCAGAGGAACTGGAGATTTGCATGGGAGAACAGGTTTATGTTGTGTCGGATTAATCCGGAGGACCATAGCAATCAGGTGTGCATGATACTGTGGATGGACGAAATTCTTTACCACCTAAGACACCCTGGAATGACGATTCCTCTGTGAATACCAACAATGGTCTCCCGTGGTTTCAAGGTGCAGGATTCTGTCCATCCACGGTATATGCTAGGGAGGTTCTTCCGACCTGGGTCGCCGGGATAGATCCCAACAGTTGCGGCAGGAGGTTGCCCTCCATAAGGGCCTCTCCAGGCCACGACCTCAGATGAGTCAAGCTGTCCCATGCGCTCAGGGTCACTGATAAACACGTGGTGCTTTGGTTCCCTTGCACTGCCATTTAGATAGTGTTCAACCAGAGAATGCTGGGGTACAAGAAGAGGC